CTTGGTTTAGGAAGCCTCATCCCAAGTATGCGCAAGGAAGGGGCTGTGGTCAGATCCCTCTTGTGCTCTGAAGAGGCTCTGTTGACCTAATAGTCTTTTATTTAACACTTATATTACAGTAGTGAATAAGGCCAACCAGATCAGGGTGACATTACCCATCAGTGGACATGTTTACATGTGTATTTCTGCGTGCCTAAACTTAATGTGCCTTTGCTTAAGGCGATTTAGGTGCACATCTACATGTGGATACAGTAATGCATGTTAAATCACATTAAATTTAGGCATGAATAGCTAAGTTGCATTAGCACATGTGCAGACATGCTAATGTGCATTAACACAGTGTGCATCCATTGACACACACCACATTAATGCGCATTAGCGCATCTACATGTGCACTAATGCGATTTAGCTATTTGCGCCTAAATTTGATACCTGCTTTATGCAGGTATCAAATTCAGGCTTAAATCACCATTTTTAAGTTGCATTAAGGGTGCGCACTTGTAGATGCGCACCCTAAATGTGCCTTAAAAATGGCGATTTACTGCACCCAGCATGGCTGACAGCTGGACCTGAAGAGCTGAGCCAAGCCACCACCCTTACAACCTTTTGGAATAAACAGGCTGTTTTAGAAAATGTATTGCAAGCTCCTGGTCTGTTTGACATATGTGGTACATTTAATGCTTGTTGCAAGTGGGTTTTTTTGGGATTTTTTTTTTTTGCCTGCATCCTTGGGTCTACACAAGCTGTGAATGAAGGTTTCTGTCTGAAGATGGGTGAGAGAGGGGTTGTGGGGCAGAACAGAGCCTCTTAGAGCAGCAGTGGCTGGAGATATAAATAGATATATCTATAAATGTGTATGTGCGCGCGTATGTATGTATAGGGGTGTGTGGATAAATGCATATATTTGTGTGTGTGTGTGTATATGTGCATACGTGCATGTGTATATATGCATAGTTGTATATGTGTGTACATACATGCCTACTTGTGTATACATGTATGTACAGTGCCCATGTATGCGTGCACATGTATGTGTATATGCATAAC